TACATTGAAGTTGTTCAGCCACTGATATGTGCAATTTTAACCTTGATTTCTTTGTGTGTCTTTGAAGCTTTTAAAAATTATTTGTTCCCTTCAATTTTAAACTGGAACATCCTCTTCAGAAGTTCAGACCTGAGAAGTCAGCTTTAAAACAGTATTTTAAAGGTACTATGTCCCATTTGCAGGCCAAAAAAAAGAAAAAGTTAAATTCCAACTGCATTTGAAAGATAATACTAATTTAGAACTTCCCTAAATAAGGTGGGCTTGAAAATGTCTTCAAGTGGGAAAATAACGACTAGATAGAGTCAAATCGACTTCAGGGCTATAGAGCCCAAAAGTAATAGTCTTGATTTTCAGACAATTGTACCGAATGGCAATACGTTTTATGCTGTGCAAAGGTTCAATCAGTTTAATCTTGGCCATCACAAGAGGTGGGTTATTGATGTAGACATTAATGCTCATGCACCCTTTACAACTCTTTTTCATGTACATGTATGTTGTTACCAAAGAAGAAAAAAGCCAGTCAGTCACTCAATAGTGTCTGACAGTAAAGTCTAGCAAGTAAATGGGTTTCCTTGCATAATTTGAATATGAGGACACTGCTAACGTTTAAATTTCACAGATAGACACATACATGACATATTCATAATTCCTGCAAAGTTCTACAGAATTGAGGTTGGCTGCAAAAGGGACATGGTACCTTTAATATATTTGTGCAACATAGGAATAACAAAGTTAGGACTGTTTAGAAGATCTTGTCACCGCTATCCTCTAATTAGGCTTGAACTTGAAAGAAACATTCAGGCATACCCCAGTTGAGTTCTGGTCAGACCACAGCAGAGATCATCAATCATTTCTTGATGTACAGAATGGAATCAAACTAAATTTATATGTTGGTAGTCTCTGGTATAAAAGCATTGAATTTTGATCATTACCCCTCTTAGAAAAGATAGGTAATAAAAACTCTAATTCTGCAAGAGTACAATGTAATTATCTGTTGACTGGTAATAAAAACAGTTTATCTTGACTAGTGGAGGACTTTGTTGGCCATTATGGAACTTGCCCTCTCCTTGTTCTTAATTGATGTACAATGTATCTCTAGGCCTAACTTTTGTATTGGCAAAATCATCTATAATTTGCAACTCCCATATCCAAAAATGCTATTAAGTTATTCCAACAAGTAATTCTAATTCTATCATTTATTATTTTTTAAGGTGAACGGAGAAAATGTGTTTTATTCTCCAGTAGCAAATGATTCTGTTCAGTTAATATTCATTGTGAAGATCTCTTCTCTGTTGTTCGCCATGTTAAATCGCCCGTATGTGAACAATGCCATGTATATGTTGTGTTTGTCTAGATCGTTGGTATCTTAATGTGAACAGGGCCATGTCTGCTGTGCTTGTCTAAATCTTTGGTATCTGATGTGAACAGGCTCATGTCTGTTGTGCTTGTCTAGATCATTGGCATCTTAATGTGAACAGGGCCATGTCTGTTGTGCTTGTCTACTGTACAATGTAGATCATTGGCATCAAAATGTGAACGGGCCGTGCGGGCCGTGTCTGTTGTGCTTATCTGATCGTTTGCATATAAATGTGAGCGGGGCCATGTCCGTTGTACTTATCTGATCATTGGCATATAAATGTGAGCGGGGCCATGTCTGTTGTGCTTATCTGATCATTGGCATCTAAATGTGAACGGGGCCATGTCTGCTGTGCTTATCTGATCATTGGCATCTAAATGTGAACGGGGCCATGTCTGTTGTGTGCTTTTCTGATCATTGGCATATAAATGTGAACGGGGCCATGTCTGTTGTGCTTATCTGATCATTGGCATCTAAATGTGAACGGGGCCATGTCTGTTGTGCTTATCTGATCATTGGCATCTAAATGTGAACGGGGCCATGTCTGTTGTGCTTATCTGATCATTGGCACCTAAATGTGAACGGGGCCATGTCTGTTGTGCCTATCTGGATCATTGGCACCTCACCACACATTGTTGACTCCGGAAGTCTGCTGGTGAGCTAGCAGAGCTGAGCCTATTGACTGAAGTGAAGAGTCTTTTTCTTCTCTTTCCCTCAGGAGGATGTATGCCCAAACACTGCATAAAATATAAAACTTAAAAATCACATGATTGCAATTGTTTTGTTAGTCCGAGCCATTTTTTCTCTCCAGTTTGGAGGGATGTTTAAAAAGGAAGTAGAAATGAGGATGTCTTGATGGTACATGTACATGAAGGGACAAGAAAGTCAAGATGTGCATATGTACACACTTGTGCTGGCTGTTCAGGAGTGTACAGTGGTCAGAAAGCTTATTTCTGTAAGCACTTTCAGTGAAATTGAGTGAGATTTAGTGAAAATGTAGGAATTAGTGTTATATTTCTGTGCATGTAGAATTACACTAGGCTTGTGTGGAGATGTTCATGGAAGAGATTATCAAATTCCTGCATTTACATACAATATGTGACAACTTTGTTTTCTCTTTTCTATAAATAATCAAATAATAAACTTGTTGAGCAAACTTACAGAACAGAGTATGATTCTAGATATAGATGAATTACACATATTGTGTTAACTTTTTGGTGTTATCGCTGTGTTTAATAATAATAATAATAATAATTGTAAATTATAATAATGCGCAGTTTCTATATGTATATACTCAACTGCGCATGACATATTGGATATTATCGCTGTGTTTAAGCTAGTAAGCCACTGTTTACACTATTTCATTTTTCAGAAACATGTAATCTTTCTGATAAAGAGTAATTGATATAGCGAGATTAAAAAGGCTATTAGAAGATACCAATTGATTGAACCATTAGCAAGCCTATTATTGTTGTTCCAAGGATTCTACAAAATGGTCTCGTTAACTAAATGAATTCTAAGATTTCCTTCTAAGAACTGGAAAGTCCCAGAAATTTGAGAATTTTATAGGACTTCACAAAAGGATATTGAACTGTAGAAATAATAGCCAAATGAAAATGGAGTTGAAAAGTTTTTAGGAGTGTGACCCACCAATGCAGACACGATTCATTCACAGTGTGTAGCAGAGCTTAATCCGATTCAAACATCATGCACAGACAATGAGCCTTCACAAAGCCAGCCTTGGATCTGTCTATCTTGAGAATCCTTACTGTCTATAGTATAAGAATCAGGATTGTACACAAAGGCCCATTGATTACCAAAATTGACCACACTGGAAAATACTTGCAAAAGAGAAACTAGCATCACTGAGTCATCATCTACCCATTTACTGGAATCTCTTTAGGGCTGCTGAATGATGACCTCCATAACCCATTATATTTCTAAAAGACTCCACACATGTACCGTAAACTCCATCCTTTTGCTCTACATGCATGGAGTCATTATACTTGGTATATTCGTGTGGGAAGGTGGAAACAGACACACTCTCTTTGAAAGGATTCTCTCGGTAGACAGGACTATTTTCACTGGTTTATAAAAGCGCTTCATTTAATCGCTTGCAATCCCATATGAATGCATTGGACATGCACACACAGTAAGTAAGGTAAGAGTAGAGTACAATTTAATATATAGTCATTGCATTATCTTTCCTACAATACTAAAAGCCACAGTGGATGGTTACCAGGTTAATAAAACTACCAAACTAAATTTATTGTAAGTATTGTAAATTGTGCTGTTCATGCCTGTACAGGGCAATTACTTGTTCTGCAGGTACTCGGGGCCGGGCCCTTGGATTGTCAGTGGAGTGGATAATGAATTTCAATTAAGTATATTTCCATTCATTTTGTGAATTATCACAATTACGGGATAATCTCTCTGAGGAGGATACATGAATGTTGTAATAGTATGAGACCAACAATTTATGGCAAGACTATAGCTGCATTTACACTGCAACCAAAAGTCATTGTTTTTGGCTCACATTCCGGCATAGCAACTACTAGCGGAAAAATTGAAATCTAGAAAACCCACCTCTGCATGGAGTGTAGATTTTTTAAACGCCGGCTGAAGTATTTTTTGCAGTGTAAAAGCAAACTTTGATGAGATACCATTTTATCGTCACTTGACTCTCCTCGCTAACGCATGCAGGGCATGCAGGGCACCGACAAGTCCAGTATGCACACTACTCACCCCAAAACCGGAATGAACAAAGTCAACAGTTTTTCATGGATCTTTATAGTAGTGTAAAGGGTAGACCAACAAATCAATTTTTTTTCAAAATGGTCTTTTGGATGTGTAAATGGGCCTATTGTCACTCAAATCCCATTTTCTTATTGACCTTCAAATTTACTGTAAAAATTCTAGAAAACAACAGTTTTTAAGTTTCTAAGAACACCAGACCAAATGGCCTTTCACACACATATATTTATTGTAATGTATATTGTAAGACATTGTTTAGTACTGATTCTTGTTTTGTCTAAGTATCGATTGTAACAGTAAATTCATTATTTTTTGTTTTGTTACGTTCTCTGAACTGATTTGTAACAAAATACTTTGTTTAGCTGTTTAAGGGGTTGGGTAGGCTCGACTAGCACATGTGCTATTATCTGGCCCCTTTTACCAACCAATAGTTTTCTCTTTCTGTATATAATTATTGTATAAAATGTATGGAATGTATTGCTGTTGCTGTTGGTAAATAAATCAAATCAAATCAATTTTTTTTTTTTTTTTTTTTTTTTAAAGAAAAAAAAAGAAGAAGATATTTTAACTGTGACCATAGTCTCATATTTTTTGTTTGTGTAGAAACAATTTTTAAAACATAAATGTACATGTATGTAAATTAGTAAAATTCTAATTGCTTAAATCTCTCTTGTACAGTGGCTCTTTGTAGATGTTTTTATCCACACATGAAGGACAAAGTAATGAAGAACAGATTCTGTGGTGCGGGACTTTCCTGCTTTGTATTTTCTTGAGTTGAGATGCTTGATTACTTGTGGGGAGCATGGTACAAGCAGTGTTTGTGTGCTTTTGCCCTGGAATCTGTATTGATCTGTGGTTAACACTGCTCAATAAAGAGCTGATCAGTGGATTTATTTGGATTTAGTGGTACAGAAGGAAGTCCTTTATGGATTAATTTCATGGTGTTTGCCTTTAGCTTCACAGGACTGCCAAAGCCCCATGTCATCCTATGGTTATACTGCTGATGTCACTTTAAGTTCGTTCAGTACAGGGAAAAAATAATTTTAAAAATTTTGGGGGCTACTTTTCAAGCATGCTTGCATGAAAATAACACTCTTTAATTTGTTTTGCATTGAACTCTATGCAAATTTGGGGGGGGGGGCGTTCTTTTATGACTTTCAGGGCTCTTTTTGGCTTCAGCAGTATATTTACAATAAAGACAGTTAAAGTGGGAAGATGAATTAAAACAGGTTAACTTGGGAAGCATTTGATGTCATTATCATCATCCTCATCATCAGCAACATTTATTGAAGTCAGCATTTTCCCTCTGATGAGGTGTTACTGACTTTTACACCTCTCCACTTCTTCCTGTCTAAAGCATCCTCCTCATTTAGACCAACTTTACTGCTTTCTTTCTTCACCATATCTTTCAATGGAATCTTCGGTCTTCTTTTCCCTCTTATGCCATCTACTTCCTGATTCCACACTCATTTCACAGGTTCATCATCTTCTCTTCTCAACACTTGACCAATCCATCTCAATCCACATCTTTTTATCACTTCCATCACAGTTGCTTCCGGGCCTAACCTTTCCATGAGCTCACTTGTGTTCTTTCTATCGGACAGTTTCACACCGCACATCTTCGTGCCATGGCTCTTTCTGTTCTCCTCAAGACAGCTTCTTTTACTGTCTTCACCATCAACTTTCTGAACCATATAATATCTAGAATAAACATAGAAGAGAAGGAAAATCAAACTCTTCAACCCAAAACACAAGATACTGTACTAACTACACAGAAAGAGTGTATACTTTTAAGGGGTTGACGTTCATCAAAAGGCTAATTGCCCTTTTTGTTAACCCCTTGTTATCTGTATATCATGTTTGTATGTTTTAATCATTTTTATGGAGAATGAAATAAATAAATGAAATGATGACCATGTGCTTTTACTTCACCTAAACATTAGGGGCGTATAGGGGGCACAGCAGTGACCATGTACATGTAGACAGGGGTGCGGGTGGTTGAACATTGAAGTGCTTCTTGAAAGCCAAATAGAGTACTGGTAGAGAAGGTGTTAATAATTTAGAGAAGAATCATTGGTGTAATTCACAAGTATTTTATCTCATAGTCTACATTGAAGAAACTTTAGTAAGAAGTGTTGTGCATGTTCTGAGTCTTGTCAAATGAGATAGGATCTCTATTCATTTTTTCCTTAGTATTTTCATGTTTCTTGTCCTTTAAGAACTTAATAAATTTCAGTTCTTTGGCTTGCACATGGAACATTCACTGAGTGAGAACTATGTGACCTTGAAACAGTTCAACTTTGCCTGGAAGAATGGAGACTTTACATCAAAATGATGTGTCATGAGATCGAAACAGTCTTTAATTATTGATGTAGAACAAATTACTCCTCCCCCTCCTACAGAATACAGATGTCAGATGATTCATGAAAGTCAACATTATTATTATAATCGTTTTGTTTTTTAATTGATTTTTTAAAATTATACCTGTGTTTTGTATGACAAACCACAATGATTTAAATCTCACACTTTCTCTCTCCCTCTCTCTCTTTCTCTCTTAGACTTCAAATCCGGATTGGATGCTGAGATACAAAGTGAAGTAAGATGGAGACTGTCAGCTTTCAGTGTATGGGGCGATGGTTAGTAGCCTTCCAAGTTTTACTACTGTTACAAAACTCAAGGTTTGGTGAGGCACAGAGCAACCCTGACAACATCACCTTTGTGGTCGAGCCATCGGACAAAGAGACTGATGTGGGTGGGTTTATCATGCTGGAGTGTATGGTCTCGCAGGTGATGAAGGAGAATTACCACCTGGTATGGACTCTCAATGACAATCCAATCTTAGAAGATAACTTTCCCGTCAGTGAAGATGTGAATAAGAATTTCCGAGGGGTGGCGTGTACCCCAGGGCCAATATTCTCATCAGTCCGGTAGCAAAGGTGGACCATGGTGCGCATTTCTCCTGCAGACTCTACAACGGTTCTGTGCAATCCGATGGGGCGAGGCTGATCACAGAATCTAGGAGTGCAGTTCTGACAGTGAAGTACACACCACCAAGCAAGTACCCTCTCTGTAGCGTTGGTCCACAGGAAAAGAATGGTAAGATCACTGTGGTGCTTTCATGTTGCACTGAGATCTCAAGTGTGCGGATGTCATTAGCTTGGATTGCACGGGGAGAGAATGCCAGCTGGAGGTTCACGCAGCAATCTAAAACCGGTTATGAAACCGGTCAGAACTGCCTTGACCATGACATTCACACAGGATTTAACTTTAGCTTGTATCAATGCCAAATGAATGAAGCTTCTGGTGAAAGAACAGAATTTGAATCAAACCCGTGTTCCATTTCAAGATTGAAATCTCTTCACATCGATCTCAAAACGTTGGACCACAGGAATGCGCAGTTTAACTGCAGTGTGGACGTGCCTGGGAGATACCGCTACTTATGGCATCTCAAAGACGAAGCCAAGTCAAATGTCCAAGAAGTGAGTGGTGTGAATGACATCTCAACTCTGGAGCTTCGGCTGAGCAAAGTCAGCAATGGCTCTTATCTTACTTGCACAGTGTTTAATAAGTCTGAGGATTACAGCACGGTATTAGATAAGTCTGATCAGTACATCATGGGAACAACCGACTTACAGATTGTTCATCAGGCTCCACCACCCGGCAGAGGCAATCCAACCATGTTGATTATCGGTATCGTGATAGGAGCAGTGGTCGGGACCCTCATCTTTGGTCTCACCCTGTACTTCATCATGGTTAGATGTGCACGACGCAACGAGAGATCGTACGCATCCCTTGGGCGCGCTTCAGAAGCAGGCATGCAGATTGGTCCAGGTAACACGTACATCTACCACAAGAGCAATGAGAATGGCAACTCAAATGGTACAGTGGTTACGACTGCTGAGGGTGGTACCATTCATTCTGAGGCAGATGAAATCCCTCCGAAGCCGGGTGGCCATCGGACAATCTCCTGGGAACCTGAAGACATCGTCATTCGCTCTAATGGTGGAGTCATCAGCCATGCTGGTGACCCCAAGAGGCGCAACGTAGAGGGTTTGGTTTACGCTGATCTTTCTTTCAAGGAGGGAGAGGAGGAGCAAGATGCGCAAGGTGAAGAGGATGAGGAGGCGATGAAGGGGGCAGTAGGGGGTGATACAAATGGTTCTAAAGAATCCAAACCAGGGACAACAACAAGGGAAAATATAGAGTATGCCAGTATTGTGCCTCCCCTTAGATCCTTGAGATTCTAGTCCTGGTGGCCTTTCAGAAAGAACAATGAACTTCATCAACAGGAAGTCTGTGAATAAAGGATATGTGCATTACAGGGACGTGACATGTAAAGTTGCCAAATGCTCACTCTGCATTTTGGATCCTCATGATAGGTGTATTACATTTATACAGTATTTCTTCTTCAAATACGAGTATGTAGAATACTGTACTTCTCGATTTTTTTATACTCTCTGTGCACTAGATTTGTAGTACTCTTTACAGGGTTTAAACAGTACAGGTAGTACATTGCCAGTTTTGTGTGTACATGTACATGTTTGTGTTATTTTATACGATGCAATTACAGTTGCTAATACGTAGACATAGATGTAACAAGTTCAACTCATTACCACTTTCCCCATGCTGCGTAGTAATGTGATAATTGTGTTTTGGGGATAGTTATCTGAATGAACATATAAATCTGTTAATCTTAAGTTTTTCAGAAACATTCAGAAACGATGCGAGATACATGTATTCATAATCAAGTTGATTAAATAAGACCAAATGCAAAAAAACAATTGTGTTCCTGAGCTAACTTTCTATGGCGTTTGCTTTGCCCTCTTGAATGAATAAAACAAAAGGAATTTATTAAGAAAACCTCATTTTGACCCCTTCAACTGTTACCAATGGTGTGCATATTTGAATAGTTGCAAAAGGCTGAAAATAATGACACCTAGAGCATACATTGTACATGTATCTAGACTTATTAACCCTTACTGTACTGGGCTATTTTGAGCACCTCCTGACTGGGGGGGGGGGCCTGGGAGGCCCCCCCCTATGATCTTGGCCGTCGGATGTCCGATGAACACGAAAATTTGCATGTTTGTAGATATTTACGTAACGAACAAGATGGTGTAATTAGTTTTTTGCGAATATGCAAATTTTTGTCGTTATAGCCTAATTAATTATGCAAAATGCTAATTTTATGCATTTTACAGAAAACGTGTCAATCAAACTTCACTTTTTGAACGTTGAAACTCTTTATTCATATGAAACTTCTTTTCTAACACAAAAATTTATTTGGATGTAATTAATAATAATAATGATTTATGCAAATTTGATGCGATTTTCAAATATTTGTTTTCTTATGTATTTTATTGTTTTTTTTATTTCTTATTATATCTATTGTTTTTATTTCTTATGTATTCTTTTGTTCTGGAATACATCAAGTTACTTTGAGAAACATATAAAAGCAATTCGATATCAATTCATATCACCCACTTAGGAAGGAATACATCTAAACCTGTATTCACATTTCTGCTTGTACATGAATATATGCAATGATAGCATATTTTGATGACATGCGCATACTAATTGTTATGTAACACCTCACAGGTATATCCGATTGTGACGAAAATGGTATCAAAATGTGCGTAAGACTTGAGGGAAAAAAGTCATGAAACGACAATTCAAAATTTCAAGCGGTTGCGGCGCAATCTCCGAAAATGTCGAGGGGGGGGCCTCCCAGGCCCCCCCCCCCAGTACAGTAAGGGTTAAAGGTACCGATAATACAAAGTTTTGGTATGGGGCCATAAATTTGGTTTCAAATGAACATATTGATTATTGATAATAAACTCTTTATATTGTATAGCTCCCTCTCAAGATTGATATTACTTTAGCTTCAAAACAATGTTTCTTTCCAAATTTAGACCAATTTGCTATTCCCTTTTGGAAATTATATACCAGCACTGCATATTCTGAGATTTTCATGATCGCAGCTACCGTATTATAGCCGTAGGTGCTATTTTAAATTTATCGGGAGCACCGATAAATTTGATATTTTAATATTTCGAAATCCTTAGTGTTTTAGAGCCCAATTTGTTCAAAGTTGCTTATTCTAACGGTACATGTACAGGTTTCACAATGAATGTTAATGCAAATTTCAAATTTCTTAATCCAATCTTGTTGGAATATTACCAAAACTTTGTATTACCTTTAACCCATCCAGTACAGTTACTTTCCATGAGCTTGTATTTGTCTTTTGTTCTTTCATTTTGCTCAAAAAATGTATCTGAAAAGAATACATGGCCAGTATTTTTTGTTAAAGATTGATATTGCACTTTCTACAGCAATAATATATTTAACGTACAGTACATGCCAGTTACAATGAAAACTATTTTATGCTTTTTTAACTGTTTTAACGAAATCATTTAGATTAGATTATAATGCATTTGCACCTTATTTATATGATACTAGATATTCACTAAAGTTTTTTTTAAATAAATGAAATAATAGATATTTCCTGTATTTTACATTGTACGGTATGTAGTTTTGAAGTTAATCTTTTGCAAGAATATGTCATGAACTATGTTGAAATACTCCCTCGTCACCTTGTGAATTTCTTTTTGTATTATTATAAATGTAGAGCAGAAATGTTAAAAAAATAGAAATGCACTATTTGCGTGAAGCAAAGACTAAGGAAGTGACTTCATATTTGAACATACATTTACATGTATTCCCATTTACCATACACTATACTTGTACATGTATACATAAATGGTAATTTTGTGCACATTGTATTCTCATTCCAAAGCATGTGCATCTGCTTGCATGGTTTAATGTATTAGTCTAAAGTATCAAATCAATTTTTGTTTGATAATTATCATTACCATGATTAATTTTATGTCCAGACTTTTTTAAACTGATAAATTTCAAAATGTAGGGGCAATGAGCTCTCCATTCCTTGCCCATACTACACTAGCTTCACTTGCCCATACGTATATATGACATTTAGAAATGCATAAAGTCTATTCAGAATTCATATAATCATAAATGGAGCTACCATAGGTACTGAGAAGTAAAGTTTGGAATGATTTGACTACTAACTAAAAGGAAGACTAGTACCTTGTCTTTTAAACAGTATTTGCGATCGATATCAATCGCAACTATGTACATAAGGGAGATAGATACTGTAAACTTGTGATTGATTTGGATCGATCCAAACTCTTTGTAAGATGGGGCTCTGGTTTCACTGTGTTTCCAGCAGGAAGATACAAATACTTAAGTATGTATTCTTACGTGGGGACATGTAACTCTAGAGCATTCTTCAATGGCTCAGAGGACAGTATCTTGCATTATTATCTATTTAAGGCTTCCAAGTGGTACAATAAATCAGCGTATTCAATATCTTTAGCGCAGTACCCGGATGACTGACCAATGTTGTTTTTGTATTGCTCAGTCATCCGGGAACTTCAACTATTGATAACGATATCATATCGATATCACACAAAAAAATCCATATTTACTGATGTAAGTCAAATTTTGTTATTTCGCCAGTCAGCCTGATAAAAATAATAATAATAATATTGTATGGTTTTTTTTTTTGTGTGATACCAGAATATATTGCTCTCGCTAAGACAATAATATTAGACTCGTCTTTGACTCATCCAATATTGTCATAGCTCGAGCAATATATTCTTGTATCCCACTCAAAGCCATCCGATATTATATAAATCACTTTGCAATACATGTTTTGAACAACTGACTACCGTATACAGTCAACTTTACTTCTCAGAGTTGCACAAGTCAAATTTTCCTGAGATCTAATCAATGTTTTGGACCAAACCATGCGTTATTCACACTTCATAAGTCGAATTTTACAAAAGTCAAACTCTTTTTTTGTGGTACCAACAGATTTAACTTTTTGGTATACAAAGTTAACTCTACTTTGGATTTTTACTTGATCCACACCGTATTTCATGATTACAAAAAAAAAAAAAAATTGATTTCAAATAGTGTTATCAGGAATACTGAATGAGTCATTTTTCTTTTTAAATTCCAAACTACTTAAAGATGAATTCAAACTCTGCCCACAAGACCCAGACAATGAACAAACAAGTTTGGATTTATTGTAAATTATGAGCAATGTACAAAGTACATACATGGTGTATACAAGCAGTCAAACATGTGGGCAGAGAATTCAAACTTTGTTTGAACTCCAAAAAGCTATAAAACTCGCACGATTCACTTCATATTTTTTATTGGAATGTGAAACCAGTGGGCAAGAGCGCACCAACAATACAAGATAACAAAAGAGTTTGTTTCATTATCTCAAATGACATTTATTCAAAGGTGTGTTTATAATGTTTCTAGTTTACTGGTAAATGTAGCATGCAAGGTAGCTTTGAAAATTGACAAATGATGCAATTTTATTTAATTCAGTTTTGATCGTGAAGAATGAAAAGGAGGCTTGTAATGACAAGACAATGCCAATGACTTGATGTAGGATATGTAGTGTAGAAAGATCAATCGTACTACACAATATGATTTGGGGAGAAGCTCCTTATTTCCTGTACAAGACATTGAGAAATGTTCAATATTTTATACATGAAAAGTTTGTGCAGGAAATCCTAAGTAGTTGGTATAAAATAATAGGTTTGGAAAATGATTGCACATAACATGGATTGTTTTTAACAAGTTCTTTTAAATGTATCTTTCACAGGGTTTTTAGATTTCAGCTGATCCATTACTGTTATCCTGAAAATACAGAATTTTGTTGTCTTTTTACAAAAATGATAACACATTGTGTTAGGTACAGTGTATAGTGCAAACAGCATGCTCAAATACGGAAGAGAATATTAATTTCACGAGAGCAACTGCTCTAATCAAATTGAAGTGATGAAATTGCTGTGCCCAAGTTTTGAGAGTATGCATATAATTGAGTGTAATGAAAGCCCATCTTCATTGCAATATCATTTCAATGAAGGGATGCCTTCATCATGGTCATTTAGGACTAATTGAAAATGCCTCTGGATAAAAATATGATTGATATATATCTAGCATGGCATTCTAATGCTAGAATACGTGAAGTATATACACACTAATCAGCAATGCTGGAGTTGTGGAGACGTAACCTTTATCGGTACTAAACAAAAACTGATGTGAAGTGGAAGATGCATGATGCACCAATCATGTACCTGAATCTTGGAAATCAAATCAGAGTTAAATCTTAATGGAAAAGATGCATCAAGCTAATGTGTGTAATGGATAAGGGTATTTACCACACACTGGCAACACAAATTTAGTGAATGAAAGAACTAAGATACCTTGTCTGACAGGAATGATGAATGGCGGAGTTGAAAAGCTCATGGGACTTTTCAAAGAAACGGAGAAAATAATTCTTCTAAATGAATTCATCTCATGATGCTGTATTGCATTAAGAGAAGACTGGAGTAGGAT